TTTTTACAAAAGTTTATTACAATGTACAACAGGCTCCAGGATAACACTTCATTTTAACTATAGGTGGCAATGATGTTATAGTAGGGGATCCAGATGTTTAACAGACTCCATTCTGTTTAACACTTCATTCTAGCTGTAGATGGCAAAGATGGTATGGCAGGGAATCCAGATGTTTAAATAGGAATGGAAGAGGGTCACCATCATCTCAGATATGAGGAACAGCTTACTTTTTGCCAGATTTCTTAATTCCACCTGTGGCCAGGGGTCCCTTCCCCACGGCCTTGGCTTTTAGCTCCTGGAGTTTCTTCTGCTCCTCTTTTTGTTTCTGCCTGAAAGCCTTATCTTCCTCGTCCATTTCCTTAGCCTGCTTCTTGGGCTGTTTCAGGGGCTTCTTTTTGCCACCGTCCCGGCCCGACATGGCGCCTCCAGACACCCCATTCTCCAGACCCTGATCCTCTTGAGACAGTTTTCTTATGTAGTGCTGGGATCAAAGATGTGCGCTACCACCGCCTGACCATGGCTCTTACATACTGTTCCTTAATACTGTTCCTTAGCACTTGTTTTTGTTCCAAGTGTTTATGCATCGGCACTTTTGGTTTGGTTTATTATTATCATTTTGAGACTGGGTCTCATGCAATCTTGACTGACCTGGAAATCATAGAGAGCCACCTGACTCTGCCTCTGAGTGCTGGGATTAAAGGCATGCATGCACTACCACCAGCCGGCCACACTGGTACTTTTGAAAAGTTCATAGTAGCTGTCTGTGCAGAGCATTCTTCCTCTGTGTCTGGCTGTTTTCCATGTCTGGTGTCTCGATACAGTTCTGTCAGGACTGTCTATAGCTTTTTCACTATTTTTTTTTTTTTTTTTGATACAAGCTATCTTTGTAGCCTCGCCTCATCCTCCCAAGTGCTAAGGCTATATAGAGTGTGCCATCATACCAGGATTTTTTTTTTTTAAGATTTATTTATTCATGGCCGGGCAATGGTGGTGCACGCCTTTAATCCCAGCACTCTGGAGGCAGAGGCAGGTGGATCTCTGTGAGTTCGAGACCAGCCTGGTCTACAGGACAGGCTCCAAAGCCACAGAGAAACCCTGTCTCGAAAAAAAAAAAAAAAGAATTATTTATTCATTATGTATACAGTGTTCTGCATACCAGAAGAGGGCACCAGATCTTACTACAGATGGTTGTGAGCCACTAGGTAGTTGCTGGGAATTGAACTCAGGACTTCTGGAAGAGCAGGAGTGGTCTTAACTGCTGAGTCATCCCTCCAGCCCATACCAGGATTCTTGCTTGGTAGTAAGAATGTACAGCAAACAATGGGGGACGAGGAGAAGAGCCAAGTGTGATGGTGCCAGCCTTTAATCCCAGCACTGGGGAAGCAGAAGCAGGAGGATCTACAGAGTGAATTCCAGGAGAGCCAGGACTGTCTTGAAAACAAAGAAGAAAACAAAACAAAATGTACAGCAAGATGTCTGTGCTTCCTGACCCTTTATGATGGCGTTCTTCCTTCATTATGTTTAGTACATTCCATCTTTACCTAATTGTTTCTTTTCAAGTGTCCTGTTTCCAAACAGTCTTTCTCAAATTTTCTTTTCTTGTGAAACCTCCCCTTGAACCATATTATTTGTGTCCTTTCACGGTAGTCCAGCACCTGCCCTGCCCCAAGTCAGACTTGTGTGTCAGATCCTCTACGGGTGAAAAGGCTGACTGCGGGTCTTGTTCCTGTGGCCCCAGGTGCGGCTGACGAGACTCTGCTGCCCTGTGAGTTCTGTGAGGAGCTGTACCCAGAGGAACTGCTCATTGACCATCAGGTGTGTATTACTTGACAGCTTCTGACAGTACAGGAGCAGGCGATGGTCAGTGTGAGAAGCCAGGAGAGCCTTAATGAGTGCAGTGCCTGTGGTGAGGTGTAACTGTTTCACCATATGGCTGCAGCGCTCAGCCTCATCCCCTCTTAGACTCAAATGACCTTTCTGCTTCAGTGTCCCAAGCAACCGGTCCGTGAGCATGTAGCCCTGTGCCTGGTTATAAGGGAGCCATGTTTCCCTTTGTACCATGTATAGTGAGGCCGAGTCCAGCATTTACAAGGTACCAAGTTCTCTCAGCTTTGGGTAACCATTTCTGCTCTCAGAAATGTTGCTGAAAATTTTGACTACATCTAGTGTTTGGTCCTTTAACAAGGATAAAAAGACTGTTAGGCCTCTGTTTTATTGTATTGTCGTGGGTGGTATGTGATGGTGCAGGTGCTGTGGTGCTCTCTGGCTTCCAGCTCTGCACTTGGGGTTGAAACAGTTTCTTGGAGAAAATGTTTTAGCAGTATAATTTTTCCTTAACCTCTTTATTTTTTAACATGTTTTTTGAATGACAGACAAGCTGCAACCCTTCACATGCCTTACGTTCACTCAATACTGGCAGCTCTTCCATCAGGGGGGCCGAGGATCCTGGTGTCATCTTCCAGAACTTTCTACAGCAGGCAACAAGTAACCAGTTAGACACTTTAATGGGCCTGAGCAACACAGCTGCTGTGGAAGACAGCGTTATCATCCCCTGTGAGTTCTGTGGGGTACAGCTGGAAGAGGAGGTGCTGTTCCATCATCAGGTGAGAATCCCTAGAGGCTGCCTTCTGTCCCCCATGTGGGTCATCTGGGAGTGCAGGTGATGCCATCTGGCCTCCAGCTGCATCCTGTCCTCAGAGCTCTGCTTTCTAGTAGCTGAGTCCATGGTGTCTGCATTTGAGACTGCAGAGGGCTGAGGATCACCTCCCTGAGAGCAGAGGCATCTTGCATTTGACAGGCAGGCTCTTCTGTCTGCTATTTGAGAGTTATACCCATGAGACCTGAGCTCCAGCTCTGGCTTTTCCATGTAGTGGCCTGGTTCTGTGATTTTCAAAGTCCTTTTCCAATTTTCTAGTCTGGAATCACAGGTTGTTCGCAGAATATACTTTTTTTAAAATTTTTTTAAAATATTTTATTTATTTACTTATTTATTATACAATATTCTGTCTGTGTGTATGCCTGCAGGCCGGAAGAGGGCACCAGACCTCATTACAGATGGCTGTGAGCCACCATGTGGTTGCCGGGAATTGAACTCAGGACCTTTGGAAGAGCAGGCAATGCTCTTAACCACTGAGCCATCTCTCCAGCCCCCCCCCCCCTTTTTTTTTTTTAATGAAGAGCCAGCAGTACAGGCCTCATTTCTTTCTTTGCTCTTTATACATCTCAAATTTCAAGGACAAGCCTGCTGTTTGTCACCTAGGAGAGACTGGACTAAGCCACCACTCCAATACTCTAGCCAGATTACCTTTCTGACTTTTCCACACCAGCCCTTGCTGCATCCCTGCCCAGAGCCTCAGGAGCCCATGATGACTGTCCATTCTCAGGATCTGGCTTCCTCTTAGCTTCCAGATTTTCTTAATGGTTCTCAGTGTCCCCTGTGGGGGTGGATGATCACCCAGTCTACTCTTGCTCTTCTCCCCAACACCCTAAGTACTAACAGTACTCACTTTCTTTTCTTTCCTTTTTTTTTTTTTGTTTGTTTGTTTGTTTAGGAGCAGTGTGACCAACGCCCAGCCACAGCAAACTACCATGCAATGGAGGGCATCCCTACACAGGATTCCCAGCCTGAAGACACTTCACCAGAGCTGCCCAGGAGGAGGATCAAACACCAGGGTATCGGCTGGGGCTGAGCTAGGCCACGGCACTGCTGGCTCAGGCCTGTTTCCTACTTCTCACTTCTCCAGGAGGCTTAACTCACCACTCATTGGCACGCATGAGGGTCTCCTGGGGAGCTGTTGAGGTTAAGTGGTCCCCACATGACCCCTAGCTGACATCAGTGCAGATTTTGTAGGGTACAACTGTCAGAAACAGCTGTGAATCACAGGCTGTGGGGAGCCACGGCTCCTGACTGCCTTATTACCCTCTGACTGGGCATGTGAACTGTTGCTGAAACGTCCCACCACAAAGCCAATCGCAAACTTCTCCAAGTTTGCCAGCATCCGTTCGCTGCTAAGTTAGGAGACCGTCTCTGAGGGTCAGAAAGTCAGCATGCAGAATAGGGAAGAGAGCATCTGACTCCTCTGGAGCTCAGTGGGAAGCAATTGTCTGTTGTCTACCCTGCATCCAGCACTAACAGCTAAGTTGCCTTTTCCCTAAAGCCATCACCACCTTCTCTTCCCAGGAGAACTGTCTTCAGGCTACATGGATGATGTCAAGCAGAAAGCAGCAAAAGGCTCCACCTACTCGCTGTCTCCCAGCAGAACCATGAACAACATGACTACCTGTAATCCACTGTTGAACTCAGCATCAGGCTCCAGATCTGAGTGCCAGCCTAGCCCTCCTCATGTGCTGAAGCTCAACAACTCAGACAGCCAGGACATTCGAGGGCGGAATCGAGGCAGCCAGAATGGGCCTGTAGCATCTGGGCATGCTCCAGTGATCCACTCTATTCGAAATCTCTATCCAGAAAACCTTGCGCCCTCTTTTCCTCAGGGCCCCCCTGGGAGATATGGAGCCAGGTAAGCAGCAGCCCCATAGTGGATGGAGCTGATAGTGGCTAAAGAGAGCATGGCCAGGCAGTCTGGGGGTAAAAGCACTGATTTGAGTTCTATCCCACCTAGAAGCAGGTCACAGAGTTATCCTCTGACCACCACGTACATTGCACACATGCAGAATAATTAAAATGCAATGAGTTTAAAAAAAACAAAAGAGTGGGGGGGGGGGGCGCACGCCTTTAATCCCAGCACTCGGGAGGCAGAGGCAGGAGGATCTCTGCGAGTTCAAGGCTAGCCTGGTCTATTAGAGCTAGTTCCAGGACAGCTAAGACTGTTACACAGAGAAACCCTGTCTTGAAAAACCAAAAAAAAAAAAAAAGAAAGAAAGAAAGAAAAAAGGTCTGTTCACACTGGTCCATCAAGTCCCACGGTGCCGGGGTGGAGCTCCATTTTCATTGAGTCTGGGTTTTGCCTGTGTTGCCACCATATTTGCTGTGCACAGGGGTTTGCTGTGTTGGTGTCCCCTCCTCCAGCCCTCAACACTTGGTTCCTGTTCTTTTATTTTTGCAGTGGGAGGAGTGAAGGTGGTCGGAGCTCTCGGGTCACCCCTGCAGCTGCCAGCTACCACAGCAGATCCCCAAAGGTAACTGGGGTCCCAGTTACGCTCAGGGCAGATGCAGACATGGCTGGGCTGGGCTGGTGGGTTGTGAGATGAGAAGTCTTGCTGGGCAGACTCCCAGTGGCTTTTTGTGAGGAGAGCTGTCTGAGAATAGTTTCCCTGCTTAGTCTCCCCTTGTGTTATTCAACAGGCAAAGCCTCCGAAGCAGCAGGAAGCAGGGGATGCAGAGGAGGAAGAGGAGTAATGGTGACTATGGGGGGCTCTTACTGCCCACCCCTATGCATAGCAGCATGTGCTGGTGCAGTGTCCAACTGCCTCTCTGGCTCATCAAGCAGGAGAGATTCCAGATTTTAATTTTTTCCAGGTTACTGCCATTTTGTGTCTGAGATTGTGCTGTGGGTGTTTGGGTTGGAGGGAGGGCTAGCTGGGAGACCCTTGCTGCTACTGTTGGGCAGCAGTGAGATGAGGGCATCTGTGCCCTCTTGGCCCATAAGGGCTCCATCCATAGACATACCATCACCACTGCTTCTTGGTGCTTTGTGGTCCTGGTGGACAGAGAGGAGGGTTCTGGGAATCTCAGAGCTACCAGTGAAGCAATTCTCTCTTTGTGAGGGCCTAAGCTTGGGTTTACAGCATGTTAGGAACAAGTTGAGCTGCAGGTACATGGACTAGAGGCCACCTTGGTGCTTCTGGGTCACTCACCACCCTCTGTTCCTGATGGGGAATGTATTGCTTTGTTCTCAATGTCCCTACCAGGGCCACGCCTGCCCTCATGAGGACTGAGGTTCCAGCCCCTTCCCTTTTTATTTTACTGTTCTAATTATCTATTTCCTTGTAATAGAAATAAAGTTTGTATTCAGAGCTCAGCTGAGGCTTGTGGGTTTTTTTCTGTAGAGATGGTTGAGTGTGCATAGTCATTGTATAGCCTAGACTGTGAACTTGTAGTCTTCCTGCTTCCGCCTCTAGATTGTAGGCACATTGAGGAACTGGGTGGGCTCTTTGTTGGATCTCCAGCACATATTCCTTCTTAGAGTGCCCAGAATCAAGGGGTTCCTTAAGATGGTCCCTTGTAGACCAGGCTGGCCTCACCTTAAGTGTTGGTAGTTTCCTCCAGATTTGTTCTTTGGAGGACACTCAGAGATGTGGGGCCTAGAAGAGAAAAAGGAGGCTGGCCTCACCTTAAGTGTTGATAGTTTCCTCCAGATTTGTTCTTTGGAGGACACTCAGAGATGTGGGGCCTAGAAGAGAAAAAGGAGGCTTCTTAGGAGCCTCAGTCCTGGGCCAGCCACACTGCTGCACACTTGGAGCCACTGGAAGGCTGAGGAAGATAGATTGCTCAGGATTTGTCTCAAAGCAAAATATACAAAATTGTGAATCCCAAAGGGAGCCATGCCTTTGAAGGACAACCACTTCTACTTCAGCACTCCTGTGAGCCACACAGATTGAGTAGATAGATGGAAGAACCATCACTTCCATGGATGGAGCATTGAAACTATGACCTACAGAAGTCATATGCTTAGCAGACACCAAAGAGAATTCTGTCCCCAGTGAAACATACTGTAGGTAGATACATCACTCAGACACCAGACTCACAAACGGTGGTTAGCTCACAAAAGCCAT